TCATTGAGGGATAAGGTCTTTTTATCAACAGTTGTACACGGAAACTGCTAGCTGGAGACCTTAACTTGATGGACTAGAGTTTGAGGGCATCTCAAAGGAGAATAGAAACTGACTGGAAAGGTCCTTTAGGGAGGAGGAGGTGGAGAGGGCCTCGAGAAGCTGTGATGAAGAGAAGGCCTCGGGGCCAGAGGCATTCCTATAGCTTTCTTCCAACAGAACTGGGAGGTAGTCAAGGCAGGCGTGATGGAAGTTTTCAGCTCATTCACTGACAGGGTCAGTTTGAGAGGAGTCTCAATGCATCCTTTATAGCGCATATCCCAAAGAAGGGGGAGACATAGAAGCAAAGGACTTTTAGACCAATTAGCTTAGTAGGGGCATTTTTAAACTCATCGCTAAAGTTTTAGCCATTTATTTGAAAAAGGTTATGAACGGTGTGATCTCAGACACTCAAAATGCTTTTATGGGAGTGACCGCTAGCGAATGTGTGGAGTCTAGAATCAAGATTATGCAAATTAGACATTGAGAAGGCTTTCAATCACGTGAATTGGGACTTCTTGGTAAATATATTGGAGAGGATAGGATTTGGTGGAAAATAAAGAAGATGGATTCATTTCGGCATATTTACAGTTGGGTACTCAGTCCTAGTGAATGGCTCTTCAGTTGGGTTCAACTCTCGAGGTTTATGACAGATGATCCGCTTTTTGCTTTTCTCTTCACTATTATCACAGAGGCTTTCAGTATATTGTAAAGGAGGGTGGAAGGGCTAGGTCTCATTCGAGGGTTCATAGTGGGTAGAGAGCAGCTTAAACAGTTAGTGATATCTCACTTGTTGTTTCCAGATGACACCGTCATATTTTGTGATGTGGATGACTAATTGAGATACTTGAGATGCGTCATGATGTCCACCCAAGCAGTCTCAAGCCTAAAGATCAACAATGGAAAGAGTGAGATTGTACCAATGGGATAGGTTAAGGAGATTAACTCTTTTGTCGATCTTCTCTGGTGCGGAGTAGGGTCCTTCCTGGTTTTTTATTTGGGCCCTAGGGCTACCTCAAGGAAGGCGTTTTTTTGGGACCCCATCATGGAACGGTTCGAAGGAGGCTTGTTGATTAGAAGAAGCAATCTCTCTCAAAGGGTCACTCTTATGAAGAGTACTATTTCGAGCCTTCCGAATAGACATTCCTTAGTGAATTAGGGAAAGGTGTGCACTCCCATACTTTTTTTTTGATAAATAGAAGGTGTGCACTCCCATACAACCAGGGGGGATTATAGTATTAGGAGGTTGGATTTGTTCCATAAGGCTTTTTTTGGGCAAATAGCTATGGAGGTTTGGGATGGAGAGGAAAGGCTTATGGAGGCAAGCTATTGTGTGTCAGGTGGGAGAGGACTTCGGAGGGTGGATTTCCAAAGAGGTGAGGTCTCCAATCGAGGTGGGGTTTTGGAAACTTATCAGAAAGGGATGGGAAGAGTTCTTCAAACGCATTTGGTACATAGAAGGAGACATGTTAGATTTGGGAGGATGGTGTGGAGACAATTCCCTGGCGCTTGGATACCCATGAGTCTTCAGGGTTGTTGCGGATAGACATTCCTTGGTCATAGACTATTATCGACTTGATAGAGGGTGGGAGAACGACTTGGGTTGTGCAGTCCCAAAAAGATTTTCATCATTAGGAGCTAGTGGAGATCGCAAAGTTCATGGCCTTGCATTACAGTCACATTGTGGAAGGGAAGGGTACGGATAAGATGGTTTGAAAGGTCTCTTTGAAGGGGGTTTTCTAGGTGCGCTCATTCTATCACAGCCTTCTAGGGATGCCAGGACCGCAATTCCCTTGGAAGGCCATTTGGAGATCAAAAGTCCCCTTGAAGGTGGCTTTCTTCACCTAGACAGCAGCTCTTAGCAAGACTGACTTAGGACAACCTTAAGAGGGCATGGCAGATTATGGAGAACTAGTGTCGCAAATGCAAAAAGGAGGAGTCGGTGAACCACCTCCTTTTGCACTTGTCAGTGGCGAGGGACATTTGGTCAATTTTTTTGACAGTGTTCGACATGCATTAGGTTTCTCCCGGCTCCACGGTAGAGACATGATCGAAGCTTAAAGAGGATGCATAGTGGGTAGCCGAGCCCAAGATGTTTTTGAGGAACAATCCCCTTTGTTTATGGTGGGGCTTGTGGCGTGAGAGAAATAGGAGGCCCTTTGATGAGGAAGAAACCCCTATATGATCTCCCAAATACATTATTTTGAATTCTTTATTCTTTTGGGTTAATAGGCGTAATGGTAAATCCATAGGGCACTTTGTGGATTTTGTTGATTATTTGAGATTATAGACGACCATGTTAGGCCTTCTGTGTATTCCTTTGTGAGCGCAGCCCTCTTGAGTGCCTTTTAATGAAAATTTTCCCTACAAACAAAAGGCAGCTGAAAACAAATAAAAAAAATAATGTGTAGTGAATAAAGTTTGAAAATCCAAAAACTAACTGAAGATACGGATGCCTATGCAGTGAAAGATGATTTAGCAGCCTCCAAAATCTAAAAAGACAAATATATAATAGCTATAGTCGAGGCAGATGGTTCAATTCCAAGCAGCTAAAGGTGAGAAAAGAAAAGAGGGAAAAGAAAAGGAAATAAAATGAGAAGGCGGCTAATGAGGTTCGGAGATCTATGGATAAAATGGATTGAATCTTGCATCTCATCAGTTATGTTCTCTGTGCTTGTGAACGGCTCTCCTGCTGGTTTTTTTCCGAGTTCGCGTGGTTTGAGACAAGGAGATCCTTTGTCGTCTTTTCTTTTTCTTATTGTCATGGAGGGATTGAGTAAATTAATGAAAAAGGCAGAGAATCTGGGTTACATAAGGGGGTTCACTGTTGGCAGAGATGTTGCCAACCAGATTGAGATATCCCATTTGTTGTTTGCAGATGATACCCTGGTTTTCTGTGATGCTGATGTTTCCCAACTCAGGTATTTGAGGTGCATTCTTACATGCTTCCAAGCAGTGTCTGGTCTTAAGATTAATGTTGGAAAGAGTGTGCTTGTCCCAGTGGGGGAGGTCTCTAATATTTCCACTTTAGCTGCTGTTCTTGGATGTGGAGTGGGTGCCTTTCCACTCCCTTATCTGGGCTTACCTTTGGGAATCTCCTCCAGGATAGTGGGGACTTGGGATCCGGTGATTAACAGGTATGAAAAAAGATTGGCGGGGTGGAAAAAACAGTATCTTTCGAAAGGGGGGAAGGTCACTCTTATTAAGAGCACCCTTTCGTCCCTTCCCACATATTTCTTATCTCTATTTCAGATCTCGTGTTCTGTTGCTGAACGAATTGAAAAAATTCAGAGAGACTTTCTTTGGGGTGGAAAAGGAGAGGAGTTTAAGTATCATCTTGTTAATTGGGAGCAGGTTTGCAAACCGTTGAAGTTTGGCGGTTTAGGTATCCGGAAGTTAGTCCCTTTCAATAGAGCCTTATTGGGGAAGTGGTTATGGAGATTCGGTAAAGAACGTCATCGACAATGGAGAAGAGTTATCTCGTGTCGTTTTGGGGAAGAGAGTGGAGGTTGGTCCTCTCGTCCTGTTTCTATTACCGGGGGCGTTGGCGTTTGGAAGTTCATTCGGAAAGGTTGGGTTGTGTTTTCCACCCATATTCGGTTCAAGGTTCGTAATGGTATGTTTGTTAGATTTTGGGAAGACTTATGGTGTGGTGATCAGTTGTTGTCTCTTTCTTTTCCTCGTCTCTTTAGCATTGCCAAGAATAAGCATGCTTATGTAATTGACTGTTATCATCTTGATAACAGTGGAGTTACGTGGGATGTGCGTTTTAGGCGTTCCTTTCAGGATTGGGAGATAGCTGAAGTTTGCGTCTTTTTGGACCTGTTGTATAGACAGAAGGATGTTGGCAGAGGTTGTGATGATATTTTGTGGACTCCCTCTTTTCATGGTAGATTCGAAGTTCGATCCATGTTCTTGTGTTTGTCTAATTTTATTGGATATGATTTCCCTTGGAAGTGTATTTGGCGCTCTAAAGCTCCTCTTAGAGTTGCCTTCTTTGTTTGGACTGCTATTTGGGGAAAAATTCTAACATTGGATAATCTGCATAAGAGAGGTAATTCCATTGTTAATTGGTGCTGTCTTTGTAAAAATGATGGTGAGTCCGTGGACCATCTTCTTATGCATTGTCCTGTTGCACCTGATTGCTGGAATCTCATATTCAGTATTTTTGGCATTCAGTGGGTAATGCCTAAGCACTCTTTCCAATTAATTAATTCTTGGAGAAGATGCCCTGTTTCTGGTCATGCTCGTGATTTTTGGAGGGTCGCCCCACATTGTGTTTGGTGGTGTATTTGGAGAGAGAAATAACAGAAACTTTGAAGGGAAGGAATCGTCTTTTGCAAACCTTAAGTCTTTTATTCTACGCTCTCTTTTCTGTTATGTCAGAGGCAGCGATTGCTCCTCGATCGATGACTTTTATGTTCTATTGGACTCTGTTGGTCCATAGGTTTGGCTTTTACTCTTTCGTTTTTGTGTATTAGAGACGCGTTCCCCTTTTGAACGTTTTTCTAATATATTTTTACTTATCAAAAAAAAAAAATGAGAAGGCGGCGGAATAATAGGAGGAGTAACATATGGAAGGAAATAATTACCAAGATAGGATTAAGAAGAGATGAGAACTTCAGCTACTTCCTGTTTAATAAACTCTACAGGTCAGTTTGAGAAACTGAATAAACACGGGGGAGAGCATAAAATCTCACCGATCTATCTATCTAAGGATAAAAAAATAAAAAAATTAAAGAAGAAGAAGTTAATGTCTCAGACACATTATTAATCGTAAAGACGGGTACAACTATCTAGTCTAAACGCTCTAAACCTTTTCTTAAGTACCAAACTAACCCCTATATGAAATTGATCAACTTATAAAAATGATATTTTCTCCTAGTATGGAACCCTCGATGCAAAAGGATTTTACACAGAAAGATTCTCATAATAGTAGCCAAAAGCAAAATGTATACTGAAACCTTTTCTCTCGATATCCTTTTTTTCTGCTCTTGTGATTTCACACCATGTGTGGCACACTTGATTCCAGTTCCTTCCCCTGCGATTTCTGTTTGTGGCTCATTTTGATTTAGTTTAGAACAGCTATTGGTTCCTGAATGTATACCAGCTTATATTATAATGCGAAATACAGATAAAAAAAATAACTAAATAAAAAGATGAAAAGGTAATAAGGAAAGAAGACTAGTAATACAGCACCTGAGCATAACACTGCTGAAGTTTCATGGCTGAACCCAGCTTGTCCCTGCTTGCTTGTGGAGCATAATGGATCCTGGTCATCATCAGATCTCATGACAAAAATTGTCAATCAGATATGATACATTACAGTTATAACTTACAGTAAAAAAGGCTAGAAATCATAGGATCAATTTGGCCAGTCAGAAGTGTTAAGAGAGTTGTATTTTATGTACTTTTACATTTTTATTAGGGGAAACTTTTTCTTTTCCTTTCTTTTAGTTAGTCAGCCTTTAGGGCATATTTTTTATTGTATTCTCATGACTGTAGTTCTTTGTAAAATTGAATATACACAACTGGTTCTTTTTTCATCTTCTCTGTGCAATATTTTCATGGAATCAGAGCTTGTTCATTTCTGGCCCTAAAGATCTGAAGCAAACAGAAAAAGGAACAAGTCTCCTTACAATGGTAAGGAAGACTAGGAATACTCCAATCACTGTCGGAACCTAGATTTCGAAAGGGAAATTTGGGAAAAAGCCTTAAGAGAAGTTTATACTCTGAAAATAACTCAAATTATATTGACAAAGACTTGGTTACAGCAAATGTAGAGGTCTGCCTTTTTTATAATACTATTATTAGTGACACTTGACACTTCCTCAAAAAGACTTCTAGAATTCCCACACAACTTTAATAGCACTTCACCACTTTCGTAAGTGAACACTTAGTAGTTCTAAAGCTTAATTAATTACTACCCAAAAACTAGAATGACTCTTTTGACTTTTTCTTCAAGGCACCATCGACTACCCTAAAGTACCCTTAATGATTTGCATCAAGATCGCAATCGCAAATCGCTGCTGGACTTTGTTCGAGTACACAATCAGTCAATTTGCATGGCATCATCTTCTTTTCTCTTCTTCGATTTGTCACAACCCTATCGCAGCAGTTGCATCTTCTGTTTGCATGATTGTTTTCTGTTCGATTTTCTCTTAACTCCATTGTCACTGGCAGCTTGAAGGTTCGCCGACTTGGTTCATCCTCTCTGGTTAGTGGTTACTGCTTTTCTTCAGTTGCCTTCGCGTTGCAACAGCAGCTCATCTCGCAGCAATCAAAAACCCTAATCCAGTGTTCGACACCTTGGCTCCTGCACTTAGTTTGCAAGTTCCCAGTAGCAATGTGTTCGCATCTCAGTGTTCTTGGTCTAACAAATTACAATCACATTGTAATTTCTATTCAGATCAGTTGGTATCGAAATCGCACCGCAATATCTGTTTGGCTTCATCTCCATCAGTTTACTTGAGTTTCGGCTTGCAACCCATCACAACTCATTGCAATCCATTGTTCGACTTTCAGACACTCTGTTCTTCATCACACAACAGCTGGAATTTCAGTAACCATTGCAAGCCATCGTCTCGATTAGTCGCTCGACCGAGTTGGATTTTTTGTTCGACTGCTGCATTTTACTGTTGAGGATTTTCTGTTGCTTCTTACTGTTTAATATCGACTTTGCGTATAAGAGTGACTTACATAACACGACCTAAGTTCGCATCGAGTAACTCGTCACACAACACAATAGTGACCTGTTATCACTCACTTGTCTTTTTCTCCGTTGGTTTCATTCTTCTCTGAACTTTGTGATATTTACCAGCTCCTATGTTGTCATTGATTGTAGAGCAGTTGCAGAAGCCTATTTTCACCCATCAGCCAAGTGATCTTGCAGTTTCTTCCTCTGTAGGTTTGTCTTCATAAGCTTTCTCAGGTATATGTAGGACCACTTGGGCTTTTGACACAGGTGCCACGCACCATATCACTAGTGATTGTTGATTATTCACATCTATTTTTTCTCCTCCACCATCTATTTCAGTTTCAGCTGCCAATGGCACGTCTATGCCATTGGTTGGTATTGGAACAATTGTTTCTGCACATTTGACTCTTCCTCATGTTAATTGCATTCCTCACCTTACATTGAACTTAATTTCTATTAATCAATTGTTCGATTCTGGATACTCTATACATTTCTCATCAAATGGTTGTGTTGGATAGATCCTCATTCCAAGAAGCTAATTGGGACAAGCCACAGAGAAGCTCCATGTTCCAACTCAGCCCAAAACTGCACCTGCTTGTGAGTCGACTGAACATGACTACCCTTCAACTGAACCTCTACATGCTCCACCTACTCACTGACACTCTGAGCTCTCCCTGAATCAACTACTTCCTTTTGCGGAGTAAACATCGCGGACTCATGAAAGGTCACATCCCTGCTAACAAGTATCTTCTTTCCCAAAGCCTTTTGGGCATCATAATCTGTATCCCTTGACCCCGGGCTGATAACCAAGAAATATGCATTTCTTAGTCCTCGGTTCAAGCTTCCTCTCATTCACATGAGCATACGCTGGAAGCCAAAATATTCTCAGATTACTATAACTAGCATGAAAACCAGACCATACCTCCTCTGGAGTCTTACAATCGCTAGCAGTCGTTGGACACCAGTTCACCAAGTAACATGCTGTAGAAATAGCTTCAGCCCAAAACGCTTTGTCTAACCCTGCATTAAGCAGCATACATCGTGCCCTCTCCAATAGCGTTCTGTTCATCCGTTCTGCAACTACATTCTGCTGCGGAGTCCTCCTCACTGTGTGGTGTCTCACAATCCTATGAGTCTTGCAGAACTTGTTAAATTCTCCATCACAAAATTCCAAGCCATTGTCTGTTCTCAAGAACTTGACCTGTTTTCCAGTCTCCTCAATCAAGGTCTTCCACTGCTTGAATGTAACCAAAGCCTCATTCTTGTGCTTCATAATATAAACCCAAACTTTCCGAGAACATTACACTTATAGCTGCTACTTCTGTTGATTTGTCTTTTTTTCGTTTGAGTCCTCAACATTCAAAATTTTATTTATGGAATTCCCATCTCGGACATGTTTCTACGTTTACACTATTTAATTTCTACTCGGGTAATTACAGTGTCATGACATTTATGATTGTAATGGTTGCAAACTTGCAAAATTTTCTGCTTTGCCCTTCAACAAGAGTTCTACGAATTCTATGGAATCTTTCGATTTAGTTCATTCTGATGTGTGGGGACCAATTCCATTTCTATGAAAGAAGGGTCCAGATATTATGTTTGTTTTATTGATGATTATAGACGATATTGTTGTGTTTATCTTACGAAGCGTCATTTCGAATTTTTTTCTATCTTTAGTGCTTTTTGTGCTATGATCCACACTCAATATTCCAATATTATCAAATGATTTTGATTTCATTTAGGTGGAGAGTATAGTAATAGTCCATTCCTTGATCTGTTGAAAGCTGACACTCCTGAGCAAAATGATGTTGCTGAGCGAAACATCAACACATCAAGGAGATTGGTTGTTCCCTTCGGTTATTTGATAGTGTTCCTAGTAGTTTTTGGGGAAGGTTGTTCTCACTGTTGTCCATATAATAAATAGAATACCATCAATTGTTACTTCTTCTCCATATTGATCTCTTTCTTGATGAAATCTATAATACACCTTCTATTGGTGACATACCTCCTCCTAATGTTTCAACTTCTTCAGCGCCTGTACCTCTATCTATTGTTTCTCCTCCTATTGTTCATACTTACACTCGCACGAATAAAGCAGTTTCTTCCACAGGTACATTTTCTTCATCTCTCTCGGCGGACTCTCCATTGGTTTCTGATGATGTTGATCCTACTCCTCCTCACTAGCCTCAGCGTGTTCGTAAGTGTCCTGATCATTTTGGTTGTGCTAATTTTTTTATTCTTCTACTTTCTTCTCTTTTATGGCATCTATTCCTTCACTTTCTGAGCTCACCTGGAGGCAGTTCTTAATCTTCTCTAGCAACAGGCAATGAACGAAGAGTTTTATGTTTTGCACAAGACTCAGACGTGGTATATTTGCCTTATGATAAAGGTGCAGTTGGATGCAAGTGGGTCAACAAAATCAAAACCAAGTTTGACGGCTCTGTAGAACAATATAAAGCCTGTTTGGTTGCAAGAGGGTTTACCCAGGAATATAGTATTGACCATGTAGAGACTTTTGCTCCTATAGCCAAAATGACGATTGTCCGCATATTGATTGCTATTGCAGCTATTCACCAGTGGGGTCTGTCATAGGTGGATGTAAAAAATGCATTTCTGAATGGCGACTTGACTATAAAAGTTTATGACAGCTCCTCCTGGTCTTTCTCACAATCCTAGCCAGGTGTGCCAACTTAGAAAGGCATTGTATGGTCTCAAACAATCTCCTAGGGCATGGTTTGAGAAGTTCTCTTCAGTAATATGTGCTTTGAGTTTTCATACCATTGATCATGATTCTGCTCTTTTTATTAGCTTTACCTCTGCTGGCCGTATTATTCTTCTTTTATATGTTAACTGGTGATGACACTACTGGCATTGATCTTTTGAAATCTCAATTGCAACAACAATTTGAGATGAAGGATCTTGGTCCTTTTCACTATTTTCTTGGTATTAAAGTAGCCCATTCTCCAAAAGGTTATCTTCTCTCTTATGCAGCAAATGTAATTCATTTAGCTCGTCTCACTGATACTCGGACAGTTGACACTCCTTTAGAGCTTAATGTTCGCGACAGTTCTACTGATGGTGTTCCTTTAGTAGAACCCACTTTATATCGAGCTATAGTTGGCAATTTAGTGTATTACACAGACATTCGACCTAATCTTGCCCATGTTGTTCTCTTTGACGGTCAATTTGTATCCTTTCCTACTATTGTACATTGGGCAGTGGTACTCTGTATCTTGCGCCATCTTCGGGGGACTTTGCACCAGAGTTTATTACTTTTTTCTACATCAGCTTTGCACCTTTGAGCTTTTTTTGATACTGATTGGACTGGGGATCCCACAGATTGTAAGTCCATCATAAGTGTCCAAAGGTGTCTTGAACATGCCCCCGCTGTGTCCATTTTGTGTCCAGCAGAAAGAAAGCTCAAACTCCAGGATAATCTAACTGTGTTGAACAAGTGTCCAGCCATGTCCCAAACATCTCTGTGTGGAACACGCATCTGATCCCACACGGCACCCCTAGAGGAATGTTTGTGCCTCCTAGCATAAATCAGTGTGGAAAAAATAGTGGGAGAGAAAGAGGGAAAGTGTCAAAGTCCAAAAAGTTGTTAAAACGGTAGCATTATAGAAGCATGTGCAAGTATATGATAAATCATAATGTCAACATGCAAACACATAATATGAGGGGGTTCAAAATGATTATTAGGATTTAGGACATGTGTGCCAACTCGGGCAACGGTGTAATCCCTCAATATAACTCCACACAATGAATCATTTCTCATTCAATATTGTTCTTTCTATTACCCCTCATCCACCATACCATCCTTATTTTAACCGTCATTTGAACATGTTTCTTAAGTAACCAAAATTATGCTATATAAAGCAATAGATCGTCTTGTAGCCATCCTAGATTCTGTAAAATTGACTTAATAACTAAAAACTATTCTTCACTCCATTTATCCTTCTTCATGGTGACAATTGTGCTAAAATAATTAATTAAGTTATCTTGAGGCATCGGAGGTACGGCTGCGCACATCTGGCCCTACCATGAACCCGCAATGGCGAGAGCCTCATGCACTGGGTTTGCCCTTTTTATCTTTTGGCAATCAATTTTGCTCATAATCTTATATTTCTAGGTTTACTGAATTACACTATGGAAGTCGATATATCCTTTAGCTTAATCCTCCTCATCCTAAACCCATATATTCCAAAGTGCCTATATAGTTATGACATAGAATTGATCACACATTACTTTTGTCAACTGAAGATATACATCTGCAAAGAACATTATTCATGCATAAATCCAAAATAAACCCAATGAATTTGTCCATAGTATTGAAAAAGATAATAGCTTAATATTGTCCTTGATAAAAGTCTACTGAGATTCATTACTCGAAAATACCATGTGCAAAATAGATAAAAATACAAAAATCTTGGCTAATAGAATTGCAAGAGTAATTCCCTATCTGATTGGGAAAGAACTGTCAGCTTTTGTGAAAGGGAGACTAATTCAAGACAACATTATTAGGTCTCATGAGCGGGTGAGAAGATTTACTAGCAAAAGAAGTGAAAGGTTTATGGCTCTCAAGGTGGACCTTCATAAGGCTTATGAGTTATGATTCAGTCAAATGGAGTTTTTTGCAGCAAGTGTTGACAGCTATAATAGGGTTTGGATCTAATTTGATTGCTTGGATCATGGAATGTCTGCGCTCTGCATGGTATTCACTATATGTATTTTTGTACCAGGGTTGTGTCCGCGTTACATTACAAGCATTGCCGTGTTATCATGTCCAAACTGTGAAATCTTGTGTCCACACAACAAAGATTGACATAAAGGTCTTACCTTTGCGTTTTCTGAACTTTCTACTCAGCATGCATGCAACATGTATTGACCATGAATCACGGTATAATTCTGTAACTTTTTATGTCAATACTAAGGCCTAAATAGGCTAAAGATAAGGTTCCCCACAGATTGGTTCATTTTATTTTATTTTCTATTTACTTATTTTGAGAACCATATACTGGTTCAATTGTTGAAGCAAAATGCCACACCCTTTCTAATTCCAATCACTTCCTGCATATGTCATATTTGATGGTACTTAAAAAAAAATTACTGGCTGAACATTCTTGTGATAAGATAGTATAATTCGAGATACAATTGTCAGGAAATGAAGCCATGTATTGGCATATTCCTCCTCAAAACATACTTTTATAAAGTGTCAAAGTGTTGTTGAGTTGATCAAGAATATCAGTTCAAGACATGGCAGACACAACATGAAAGAAAGATGGATACTCAATCACTTGGATAGGTTACAGGTAACTGAACTTGGATTGTCCTTAGGTTAGCCTATTTTATTTTATGGGTTGGTGCCTATGTTACCTGGACTATGGTACGTGTGTCGAACACAGGTATGTATCCATGTGTCAGACGTGTCAGATCTCTAAACACGATACATGGACAATGCTAAATATTCATTTTATTTAATTATTTTTTTTTTTTTTGATAAGTAAGATTTTATTAAAAACGCTCAAAAAGGGGAGCGAAACCCAAAGAAACAAAAGGAACACAAGGGCCAGAGGGCCATTTTATTTTATTTATTTTATTTAATTATTTTATTTTATATTCTAGAGTAAATTAATGTTTAAATCTAATATAGTGTTCAATATAGGCATTTAACTCATTTTAAAGTAATAATATAACATAATTGAATGATTGAATATGCTTTCTAAGTAAATGTCCACCCAAAAGTGTCGAATACATATCCCAAACCCATGTACAAGCAATACGTGTCCAACACAGGTACTTCACTCCTTTTGAAGAGTCCATGTGACATAGGTTGGTGGCTTGGTGCTCAACATGTTTTAAAGTTAAATGGTTTTTCAAAACTAAGCTAAAAATTCATTATTGTGAAAACTGGAGCTGAAACCTCATATCAATAACAGCTCGACCACTAGAGGTTTTGGTTGATCAATTGACGGAGGTAAAGTAAGCTTCGATCGATGCAGATCCAGTGAGGTTCGATCAATAGTCGAACATAGACGGTTCGATTGTGAGGTATCGATCAAAGTGTCGAAACCTGCTGTGAACATAACTCTCGAGAATCAAAGTTTTAATTGGGTTTGATGACTAAAAATGCGATAGACTCTCTTGTTGACCATTGTGATGTTGTAGCCCGAATTTGGTGTCGGGCCACGTTGCGACCCGATGACCCGTTGGATGAGTTTTAATTGGAAATTTGTTTACCTGTTTTTGCTCATGGGTCGTAGACCCTAATTAGTACTCTCTTGTAGCCCGATATATAAGGGCCCTTAGGATTTGGAATGTGATCATCAAGAGACACTGAAAATCGTATAGAGAGAGAGTGGGGGTAAAACTTGTAATCCCTGATTTTACAAATAGTGAAGACTTTCGCCGGATCTCCACCGTGGACGTAGGCTTTTCCGAATCACGTATAAATCTTTGTGTTCTTTATGTGGTGTGTTTATTTTTCTGTCGTGTTTCGCAATTGTTGCTTCGTTTGTTGCGTTTGCCTTAACAACTATAAATATGGGTTTAGATTAAATTGAGAGTAAGATCTTTAATTCTTCAACTCCTATAAACACTTTGGGGAGATTTGGGATAGACTTTCATGTTTTAACCCATATAGATTATTCTTGAATGATTGAATACACATCAACTACACGGAGAGATCAGTTTTGCTACAATAAACCAGAGCAACAAAGTATAGAGACGGAGAACAATCAATAGAGAAACAGGTTCGTGGGAAACGGATGTAGTTGACAGATGAGAAGAATGTCCCGGAGATCTTCAAAGGCACTTAAGAATTGGTATTCTATTGTGTCTATAGATTAGTTAGGAGATCGGGAATACTGAACTGTGACAATATTGTACATCTCTTTGTCTATAATGGATTGTGCCTGACCGGACAAGGTCCCGTGATTTTTTACTCTCTTTTTGGTTTTCCACAAAAAAAATTAATAAATAAATAAATAAAAATAAAAAAAAAAAAATTTGAGTCTCTTCTACTCTCTCTTACTTAGTTTATTTATATTTACTGCTTACTACATATTTGTGAATTGAAATTAAACTGCAAACTTGTTTTCACGAATATAAAGGTAATAATTAATTGTGAACTTAAGAATATTTAAAAGCAGAAACATATTCACAAGACATATTCGCCCCTCCCTCTAGGTCTATAAGATCAGAACGATCTCATGTATATGTACGTATTCAATTGATACTATACTGAATTGGTTGATCCCATCATAAATTGATCACTAATGAAAAACAATCAACTTAAATTCGAACCTGCTCTTTTATCATCTTTCTTTCGTGTTCATGTTGATCCAAACTAGGCATGACATTCTTAATCCCAATTTCTTCCCCACATAGTTCTGTTTTAGGCTCAGTCTGATAGGTATCACTTCCTGATTGAAATGTTACCTTATTAAAACTTTTGAAATAAATGTGAAAAAAATAAGAGATGTAGAAACAAAAATGACAACCGGTACAAAAATAACACTACCAGATGCTGACGATAATTCAGCTTCTTGGATGAATCTGTCATTTGATTGCTTTGGGTAAGAGAAAGATTGATCTTGGCCATGAAAGTATTTTGTGATTGAACATGTTCCCTGCCAAAAGCATTCACAAATCACAAGTTAATAGATCATGTCACAATAATATCTGAACCATTAAAACAAGTTGAAAACTTAAAATTTGTAAAAACAATAAATTGATATATACTCAATTATGTCTGAATGCATATGTTAATAGATACTTATCCCTACATGGCATGCTTGTAATTTGAGGAAATTTGGTGGGGCCCTTGTTTGACTTTTGGGGAAATTGTGTATATCTAGTATATAAGTGAAGAGAGAGGAAGAGAGAAGGCATTTTCAGCCCTATCCTCTGGCAGACAGCAAAAACCTTCTTCTCTATCTACTTTCTTTTTCTAGATCTAGAATTTCATGGCCATGTATCATTAGCTTCCTTTGAGATTTAGACAAGAAAACTTGAAGACCACATCAAGAGCTACAATCTTATGGTTTTTATTTTCAATTTGAAGCATCTTCATGTTGGGCTGAATTGGGGCTTTTTCTTCTAAGTGAGGTAGGGGTGTCTAACTAATGAATTCCTTGGTCTATGTAAGTGATTGAGTGATTTTCTTTGTATAAGCACGCTAATTGAAGTAATTGTTATCTTGACAACTTATAAATTGCTAGTATGTCAATAATTCATGTTCCAAATGATACAATTTGATGAAATTGTCTTCCTTGTAGGTAGAGTTGTGCCATATCATGACTTTATTGGCTATATTTTGTGTGAATTGTATAGAACATGCTAAATTGTTGTTAATTTCTGATTTAGACTTGATTACCAGCATGTTATTTGGTAAAGTATGCCTCCTTGTTATTGTAATTGGAATTTAGCATGTATAGGATGATAGACACAAGGCTTAAAGTGCTATATATGTGAATTGTTCATGAACAATCACCATGCTGGAACATTATAAAGTTTTGCTGGAAATTATGTTTATTTGGTGGAAAATTATTTAGTTACCAGAAATTTTGTTTATTTGCAGGAAATTATCTTTAAATGCTGAAAATAGTATTTAAATACAGGAATTTGTATTTATATGTTAGAAATTTGATTTAAATGTCGAAAGGAGGTAATGATTGTCATATTGCTATTGTTATAGCTTGTGAGGTTAATTCTCATCATCTCACCATACATGGCATTGTGTGTGTGTGATGGAAGGTAAGTGCGAGTATTGAATTTCACAAGTTTTGTGGAGTTGATTTTCCTAAGTTTGTGGAAAATGGATTGAAAATGCGATTAGTTGTGGTTTAAATAGGAAGGGCAAGGCCCTAGGGTTGAAAATCCCAAAACTTGGCCAAGCGGGTGTCGTTACCGACGGGCTAAAAACCCGTGAAGCGAGGGTAGGGATATGGGAAGGTACCTCATATTCGGTTGTGAACCAATCCATGTGTTTGTGTTGATATTTGGATCACAAGGTCGTGTTGTGTATGAGTCCATGTGGGGGACTTCATGTTGCATAGGTGTTAATGCATATGATTCGGATGGTGTTCCTAAAGCTATTTTGTTTGAGTTATGTTGTAGTACCAGCATGCCAACACTATTTTACTCTTTGGAATTTGTGGGAACTTGTACATCTACTTTTACTTCTATCCTCAAAGCATGATCCCTTCTTCTTTGTTTCACTATATGCTATGTGAGCATGACTTACGAGACTATAGGAAGTGTTATTTAGCCACTCACTACTAAGCAATTTTAAGCTCACCCGTTGACAAATTTCAGGTGAAGAGCAAGTGGAAGGAAAGATTCCTCAATCTCATCCTTGAAGTTGCCATGTGAAGCTTGGAATCCATTTTGTCTTGTGCATTTTATCATGTCATAGCTTTTGGCGTAAATTGATGCTATGCACGAAGTAATGTCTATATGTATTTTACTTGGTGCTCGTAAATATATGAAGTGTGTATGATTTTGAAGCTCTAGCATGATAAATGGTGTTATGAGGACTTAAAACAGGTAATGGGATATTTTAGGTGACCACCATACTTGGGTTCAATTGGGAGCCTAAGGACTGGGTTTATTTCTTTCATGTTCACGGACCGGGTCCTACGGATTCGGGTCGTGACATATCTAGTTCATATAACATAGGTTACAAGTAAGGACAATGAAACAATTCTCCTCTTTGGAGTACTCTAGTTGCCACCATTAATTATTCATAGCTTTAAATGGGTAATTATACTTTTTCAATTGATGGTTAGAACAAATAGGTCATGAAAATCAACCTATTTGTACTTACAAAGTCAAGATGATTGTAATCCCTAAAAAGTTAGAAGGAACTTTAAAATTGTATTTACCAAATGCCTTTGCCGTTTAATTTTATCAAGAAAAAAGTATTCCTTCATGAAAGGCCTTCCCAGTAAAAGACTTTAATGTCAAGAAGCTTCCCGAAACACTACCTAATAAGGAAAGCTAAGAAAATGTATGTAAAAGTTAAAAATAATTATAAAAATTACACTATTTATGTGAAGAAAAAAAAAAAAAAACAAAAAAACAAAACAAAAAAAAAAAAAACTGAAAAAACCATTTACAAATTAGCAAAAAGTTGGGAGAGCTTGACTTGAGATATGGATCAAGTTAGATGCATTAAAAACATAAACCAAACATTATTAATGAAAGACAAAAAAAAATTAGATATATGGAAAAGTTATTTTAAAATACTTACGAGAAGAATATCTTAGACAGAAATTGAGAGTAATGAAAGAGTATAGGAACGATAAGACAAATAAATAAGAAATAAGTTGAGGAAACAATTTTCCATGAAGACCACTTCTCATTATATTTGTTTTGTTCAATCGACAAAGGGACTGGTACACCATGTGCATGCACTGTCTGAGTAGGATATGGGATTCAGTGGGCTCTTAAAGCAAGTGCATTCTTGTCATTGTGGCTCATTTTGAGGTACTTGGATAAGTCACAGGAATCACAACTCCACAACAAAATTCTAGAAGGTACTCAACTTGGTACCTTGTTGCCTTAAGTGCACACTAGCACCACCCTCATCACCCCTATAATCAAAATGTGCCCCTACCGCATCCTAATCTGATAGCCCAGTGCAGTGGAGACGTCCCTTTGGACCATATTGGTGCGTACATCGTGACTATGTGAGACCGCCGTGTTGGTGTGAGCACAGATTTTTTGTTGGACTATAAAAAAGATTTATAGGCAAATGGACAATCCTTTAAAAAAATAGATAAATAAATACATAATTATCAAGACCTTGGTGTATTTGGGTCCTAAATAACCCAAACTTTCCTATGGAGATTTAACCCATGACCCATCCACTATGGTCTAACCCTTGAAAGTCTATGTTGACTCTCTCTCTCTCTCTCTCTGACTCTGTGTGTATGTGTCTCTCTCTGTGACTGTATGTGTGTGCTGAGTCAGCTTAGGCTTCCACCTAACCAGTCTACCTAGGGTTTCACCTACATTGAACCTTTGTTTCCTACTCAGCCACGACAAAAAAGACTTCCTCTTAAGTCAGCGGCAAGGGAGAAAAAAACACCTTCAGCGACTGTTAGCCTTTCCTACTTACAGAATTTGTTTGCTTCAAACTGTAAGTCATAATAAATATTAATGAGAAGTTGAAAATCAGAAAATGAATTGTGAGAATTACAATGGCCATTACCAGTTTTTCAATTTCTTATTTTCGTCTGTTTGTCACGGTAACTACCAGCTAACTCCACTCAACTCAACTACCAGTCAACAGGAACAAAAAAATGGGTCTAAGGATGTCCTTTGCACCATCATTAAACATAGGTGATGCTACTACGGTAAGTCCCTATTGCAGTACCTGCTTCTTTGATTTCCAACTTACCAACCCCACTTTTTCCATCATAAATTACATTAATCTAGAGACGTTAATACAGCATACACATACTAAGTGACTTGTGTAAACTTAAATTTTGAACATTGGCAGAAAGAAAATGCAGTAGTGAGTTATTAGTACTTTTATCATGATCCAAAAAGGTTCTTTAACCGGGAAGTTTACGATATGACCTCTGTAATTTTCAGGTGGAAAGGGGTTAAGTTTCGTTACAGTCACAAAATGCTGATAACAAACCTAACAAACCTAACAAACTCCAGCAGCTAAAAATTAGACACGATACTCAGAAATAAGTATTAAGTAATGCAAGTAAACAAAACATTGTAAGACAATAAATTACAACAAAACAGATAACTTTGAGCTTACAGATGGTATAGCAACTATTTTACCGGCCGAGACAGAAAGAGCTGTTATCCCCCATCCATTGTATTGACTATTTTGAATCTTAACTCTGAATAAGTCAAGATATTCGCGCAATCCAGCTTGAAACAGGTTAAAGGCATCTTCTTGAATCTTGGCAGTCCCATACCTTAATGGACATGACTTGGAAGGAAATTTTTTATGGGAATCTGAGTCACCAGACTGCAAGATAACATATGATCAACACATAAACATATTGATATATATATATGCATGAGATGTTTAAAAAATTTTAATTGGTGGAAGTAAGTAACCACAGATATGAAAGTACTCGAAAATATGGTTGGAAGAAACAATAACAACCTTGTATGCTCTAACATGCAGAGTGAGAGTGTGTGCGATTCGCTTATTCTGGTCCAGATCAGAGTGAAGACGTTCACTGAGTTCTTCACAAAGTTCATTAAGCCAGTGTTCAACCTGGAAGACAAGCACAGGAACAAGTAGGGAATGACAAATAATGAGATGATCTCCCTTACAAGTGAAGATAAGCATTGCTCAAAGCACTTCTTACTTTCTTAGGAATGAAAGCATAACAAACTAGCACTAAAAATGAACTTCTAATGACAAAGAAACATCAAGTCAGAATTTTGGAGACATGATTGTATGGACTTAACCAAAGATATAGATAAATGATTTTAGTACAACAATCATATAATAGATAAAGGCGACCTGGGATTTGATGTTATGGAGGAATTAGGTTATGAAAAGCCATTGAGTTTAACTTTTTAAGGATCTGGAACAGAGGTATTTGGCATGGAGAACCTTAAGAAGGGTAGGAGTTGAATGGCTAACAAATTTATTTAATAAAACTTTGGAGGAAGGCACGATGCCTAAACATACAATATCCAATAATCAATTTAGATTTATGTTAGGGAGATTGATGCAAATCATTAATGGTGCTTTAGGAAAGTTCCCTGAATTCCATATTCTTGATCTGATTTGGTATAGATTTTTGGTGCGACATATGGCCATGAGTAGCTCCAATGTAAAAATCAGAGTAGTTCAAGGCTTGGTTCATAATTTATCTTCAAGCAAGTTTTGGAGATTTCACAAGAGAGCTCCGAAAGTTAGTTCAGAGTTGTTCTTTGTCAGTAACAGAAGCTTATTGTGCTTTGATCGAGCGAGGAAAAGAAGAAAGAAAGTATGGATGGCTTTATTCTGGCTTGTCATTGATCGTGGTAAATTGTTTCAAACTCAAGGGCGAGTTTTCTTCAAGTAGGAGGGTCTGATGCAAATCATTAATGGTGCTTTGGGAAAGTTCCTTGAAGAAAAACTCAAAGAGTCATTCTTGTTTTTGGGTAGTAATTAATTAATCTTTGCAACTACCAAGCGTTCACTTAGGAAAGTGGTAAAGTGCTATTAAAGCTGTGTGGGAATTCTAAAAGTGTTTCTAGGATATGTCAAGTGTCACCAATTGGCAATAGTAGTATTATAAAAAGGACAGACCTCTATATTTGTTGTAACCAAGTCATAATCAATATCAATTTGAGTTATTATCAGTTTATAAACTGTTTTTTTTAGGCATTTTCCCATATTTCCCTTTAGAAATCTAGGTTCCTGACAGTGATTGGAATATTCCTCGTCTTCCTTACTACTGTAAGGAGACTTGTATCATTTCCGTTTGCTTCAGAGATCTATAGTGGTGGTTTACTTATAAAGGCAGTCAGTGGAAAATTGAAGAAACAGGCAAAAACACATGGTTTTCATAGACTTAGAGAAGCCATGTGAAAGGTACCAGGAGATATATTTTGGTGGGCTCTAAATAGGAATATGTGGTGGGCTCTAAAAAGGAAACAAATTCCTATAAGATTCATAAATCTTATTCAGAATATGTATAAGGATACAAAAACTAGAGTTTGTATTATATGTGGGAGACTAATGATTTTCATATAAAAGAACGATCACACCAAGGTTCAGCACTAAGCCAATGGTGCATGTTATTTGTTGATTACATAATGTTATTGGATAATTCTAAGGAAACCTTAGCAACAAAAAGAGTCAACAGGTTTAAAAATTAGTAGAACTAAAATAGAATATCCATCTAAGATTGAAAGGGAAGTTATACAAAACAGCTATTGGACCAGCCATTCTTTATGAGACAAAAATGTCTGGCAACTAAGATATAACATATGCATAAAGTGGTTGTGGGAAAAATGCAAAGTTGAGACAGATTTGTAAAATTACAAGAAAGGGTAGAATTGGAATTTAGGAATGAACATGTTTTTGAGATGATTGAAGTGGCACCAAATAGAGATAAAATGCGAAAAAAATCAACTAAGATGGATGAACATGTGCAAAAATTAAATTAATAAAACACTAAGTGCACCTGTTAGGAAGAGTGACATGGTCCATATTAAAAGTAGTGCTAGGGGAAGGGGGAGACAAAAATTAACAAAGATAGAGTTAGGAAGAAAGGATGTAACATGTGGTTTGACTAAGGTTGTAGAGTTGGAGCAGAATGGGAAAATATGATTCATATAACCGACCCCAAGTAGTTTGGAAAAGGCTTTGTTGAGCTGAGTTAAGCAGAATCATCGTGTTCATGTCGTGTTTGTATCCTACCTTTTAGGATTTGTAGGATCGTCATATCCGTATCATTTCATATCCATCTGCATTGTTCATAACCATGCTTCTTAGCTAAATGATATAACTAAGAATGGAATTCCCTTGCATAACAATAATAAAGATCTCGCAAGCAAGCTTTGGTTGTGAATCTAAAAAGGATTCCTAACATAGAGGAGAAAACATATAACCCTAATGGGTAGCATTCTCCACCAAAAAGGCAAAGAAAAGCATTTTCTCTTCAATTAAATGAAGAAAACTTTTCACGCCCATCATTGTTGGATATTTAACAAATAAGAAAATGATTTCTTACATGAATCATATGTTTTGTATAGCTATAAATTATATCCATTAAGTTATGAAATAAAAAAGTTAAATCAATATACTCTTAGGGATTATTACTCGGTGCAACAGAAAAGACACAGGTTCCAAAATGTACAAACGCGGTTATGCGAATCAAGTTATAGGTCAGGTATATACCTAATCCACACCTTCCAACATTCTAAATTGACACAACTAGCATGGAGTAATGGAGCTTTTTTTAACAAAACTCGCCTATGTGGGAATCTTTTCAATAAATAAGCAGCCTTCCTCTTTCGTTGTTCTATCTCTCTCTCTCTCTCTCAGAATAAGGAAACAATAAGAAAAAGGAGGAGTAGCAAGCCATTGCTTCATTCGTCCACTAACTCCGTGTCACAACTGACTTCACAAGGGACTGATGGAATAATAATACTGTTCTTTTACCAAAATTTTGGCCTTACTAACATAGAGTTCTTAAAGGTAGGCTTCAGGAGTATTACTTTGCAACTCCCTCCTCATACTTTTTGATGCATGCACCCTCTATACTTTGGTATTTTTAATTTCTGGGTGGGCATGTGTATTCATTTTACTGGAATTAATGAAATAGATATAATTGTCATTCATCAACATATCATGATCAAGTTGATGCACTGGTAATCGTAACAGAGGAAAATCTTGGGGAAGCATGGAATTTCTTGCAAGGGAAAGCAGTGCAATGACTCGAACTCCATATCTTATACAGAAATGCAAGGCAATGCTTTTCAATTTTCATAATTGTTGAAGGATATAAATATAAAAGTTGCACCCTCTCTAACAACTTAAGCTTTTGGAGTAGATGGTTGTTAACATGGTATCAGAGCCAAAGGTCTCGAGTTCAAACCTCACGGTCACCCTAATTAAAAAAAATTTAAAAAAAACACGTGTTTGACCAAAAAGAAGGCCACACGTGAGGGGGCGTGTTGAAGGATATAAATATAAAAGTTGTACCCTCTCTAATAGCTTAAACTTTTGGAGTAGATAGTTGTTAACAATAATCGTCGTAGTACCTGACTTCTTGTGTATTTTAATAATAACAGACAAGATAAATGGCTGTGAACAAACTGTGATGCTATTGATACATAACTACAGATATTGCAACGACAAAAAATGCTGAAGAAACTGCAACCTGCATTAATAATTATGTAAATTCACTAATACATTTCAATAAATAGTATATTATGAGCACAACACATTAAGTTTCACTCATGTCATGGCATAAATACATTTTTTTTTTCATTAACCACATAATGAAGAGAATCACTTGATTATTTAAGAAACATTCTTTGTTGCGGTGGAAATACTTACAGAAGCAGTCGTTTTCAGAGCCCTAGGTCCAGGAAACGTTTTCCCAGAACCATGACTCTTGGGAAGAAGGCGACCCTCAACCTCTTCCCCACTGATCCCCCTTGCAATATTCCATAACCAGGTACTGGATGCAAGTAAAAGTTAGGAATCAGAAATAAAATGCCTAACAAAAAATCAATCTTCATATATTTATGTATTGCAAAGTAAAGCTTATATGTAAAAAAAAAAAAAAAGGAGGAGTTTGACAATAAAGATATGTCACATCCTATGGCATGAAAGTTAATGATCCAATCCTAGTCACGTAGTTACCACTTCCCCCACCCCAAAACACCCACACACAGAGACAGCAAGAGAGAGAGAAAATAAAAATGAAAAGCAACAAATACTATTACAGGATAAGGGACTTACTTATTCAGCAGCAGGAAAAAATAAATAAATAATCAGAAAGAACAAGGAAAAAAAAACTGATTTTTTAAGAGGGGGGGAGTGACAAAAATGAACTAGACCAGGAACTAAATCAGGAGAGTGAAATTGGAACCATTTAGATTTATTCAAAATAACTTACAAGTTTTGGACATTAGCAATGAGTTCCCAAATTTTCCATTAGAGGATATGTTTGGTTAAGCACTTGAGTTTTCCTAATTGAAATGCCACCAACGATCAAAGAATCATACAAGTTCTAAAAATAATGTCTAATGATAGATAATAACCCGGTATTTATGCCATAACATTCTTGTAGTTTCTCCTCGGAAAACTGCAATAGATCCCCAACAGTATTCACACCAAGGTCAACTTGCAAGGAACTCCCAAGCTTTCCCCCAAGTTGTTTCCTGCACATCAGTTTAGCCTCCAGCATTTTATAAGACCACACAAGCAGCAATGTCATCCACAATAAAATGAAAAAGAGTAATGCATTTAAAAAAGAAAAACATTTCCTATTGCACAATTAAAATCCCCAATTTAAATTTACAAAATAAATACAGCTAAATTACAGGCACAACATTTGACCTCAAATTGCAAGTTAGAAAATGGGTATAATAAGTAGAAAGCCTACATCTAAAGCAAGACCTTACATTTTCTTTATAGGTAAAGGTTTGAGCAATCCCATTACAGATGAGAAGGGAACAACAGTTTGTTGTGCAGGTTTATTCATACCACTTGCCAGTTTGGCCAGCATCTGCTTACAAAGTCATATATAAGCTAATATCAATAATTATAAAGTAACAAATAAAATTCCTTTCAGCAATATAATGCACCACAAAGAGATAAATAAAGGAACTGAGCACCACTCCCCACCTTATTATGAGCGACCCCAGCAGAACATGTAAATTCAGTCTCCTTCAAAACTTGCAACCTTAGTTCTGCAACAATAAGAGCCCCACAGGCTAACAATTTATCACGGTGATCAGCATTACTCCTACGGAGCCACTCCCTAACATTTTCATCAACATCATTTCCATCCTGGAGCAAATACCAATTTTAGTAAAGTAGCTGTTGCAAATGCAGAATATGTAGGTACAGAGATAAGACACTCGAAGAAAGAAACTCCTTGCTAACACTATCTAATGCTTATAGTTTTCTTTATTGGTGGAAACATGTTACATTAATTAATTAATAATAAGCAAATCTTCTCGTCAACTTCCATAAAGTGAGATTCCATGCACTGCATGCTTACGTGTTCCTCCTTTAAAAAAATAATAATAATAAAATAATAATAATAAATAAATAAATTGTGTGGCCCACCAAAAGGCCCATAATTAAAGTCTCGTCTTTCGTATACTTGGGATACCATAAACCTTTCTGGGAAAGAGGCAAACTACGGTATTTGCCATTTCTGCTGCTGTGTTTTGAGTCAATGTCAGGTTTGAGAATAAACTTGTGTAATCACCAAGTTGATTCAGGGTAGAGAATAAGAGTCTCATCCAATTTGGGTTGATGGGTGGTGATGTAGAACAGCTTGCTCACGAGTATCTGAGCATACAGGATCGCCGCAAATCAGGGAGGCTGAAAAGATAAGGAGACTAGAAGAAAAATAAATAAATAAGGAAAAGTCAACAATAGAAAAAGGAAAAGTTGAAAATAAACAGGAAGATTGGTGGCGGAGTTCACAATAGGCAACATCATGATTGATTTGGTCGAGCATGGGGAAGACAAGGGTGAGGAAGGTGAGTTCCTTACCTTTGAAGAAGAAGAGGTGATTGAAGGAGACAATGGCGAGTTGTTGTCCCACTCTTTAGTCATGAGGAGGTTGATGCTCACGCCAAAGGAGGAGCACCCACAGCATCATAATGTGTTCCGTATACGTTACACTATCAGCCATAAGGAATGTGACGTTATTATTGATAGCGGCAGTAGTGAGAACATTGTTTCCTTAACAATGGTCCGATCGAGCTACAACTTCGGAGGGCCGAAGAGGATGACGAGGGGAACGAAAAAGTCTCCTGGCCGCCTCCAAATCTAAACCCTAGCCTCCACCCAAAATTTCAAAGTGTCCCAAACCGAAAATAAAACAGGGGTTTTGCTTCTCTCGGTGTCCCTATCATTTCTCCCTTCTACGGCAATGTGAAAAACCAAGTGGGAGTGGGCTAAAATGGAGCTTGAAGCTTGGTAGGAAAAGAAAAAATAGAGAAGAAGAGAGAGGAGAGAGAGATGGCCGGATGGGAGAGAGAAAATGTGAGGTTTGGTGGGTTAGTAATCCCTTTTTCTCATCATATACATACACATATCTATGTTCTACACTCTCCACCACACACATATTAATACACATATCATATAATACAAGCATTCACTCTCTACCACACCTTTTTCTTTTTATAAGTAAAGATGTATTAGAAAGCGTTCAAGAGGGGAATGCGTCCCAAGAGCTGTACAAAAATCAAAAAAAAGGATAAAGAGGAAGACCTATGGACCCAAAGACCCCAAAAAGTTCATGATCTTTTCTAAAGAAACACAATCTCTCCCCATTCCCCAACTAAAAAGAGAACAAATAATAGCAAACTTCAACGCCCCAATGGAGATCTCCTCCCCATCAAAAAATCTTCTATTTCGCTCTTTCTAGAGACTCCACCAAACACAGAGGGGGGTCACCCTCCAGAAATCGCGAACACGCACTCCCACCCTTTGGCCCCTCCAAATATCAATCAAGTCTCTCGAGGTCCGGGGCATAACCCACTAGACGCCAAAAAGACCCAAAATAAGACTCCAGCAATCATGAGCCACAGGACAATGCAAGAGAAGGTGATCTACAGACTCTCCATCATTCATACACAGAAAACACTGGTTGACAATGACTTGTCTTCTCTTCCTCAAATTGTCCAAAGTCAAGATCTTACCCCAAGCAGCAGTCCACACAAAAAAGGCCACCCTAAGAGGAGCCTCACTACCACACATCTAACACCAACAAATCAACCGGGTCCCACCAACCTCCACAAAATGCACTAATGCCCCAATGTGATAAATGATAACACACAAATGTATGGAATGCCTCGCAATGTCATGAATAATGAATGTGACCCCAATAAAATAAAAGAATGTGTCAGGAAAAATTCCCAAGCACTTGACCCAACCCGAGCCCACATGACCCGAACACGAAAAAAAAGGAAAAAGAAAATGGAGAAAAAGGAAAAAGAAAATCTGTCCCCACAAGTGGGTCTTTTCATCATATGTGGCCCCTACCTTTGAACTCCATGGCATAAGATGGAAACCTTTGGAGCCAATTCGGAGAACATAATGCTCTATCAAGTCTAGATTGAATAATCTCCCTTCAAGGCAAACAGTGTTAGGTTTTGGTGGTGAAAATGCTAAAAGCAAGGTGTAAGAGGCAATATTTGTCCAAGGGACAAAAGTTCAATTTTATTAGAGCACATTATCTAGTACCACCGGCAAATAGTGCCACTGGTGCGAGTTAGAGCCCCAGAATCACTCCCCAGGACCTTGTTGCGGCGGGACCAAAACTGGTTAACTGTCCCTTTATCTAGTCTCCCAACATACTCCATGTTTATGTTTCCAGTTTCAACCCAGAGCGGCTAAGAAAAATTCTAGAGAGACTTTCTAAGAAGAACCAAGTGATGATTTTTATTACCACCGAGTGGATTGGAGGTGGTATGATCACATTGAAAAGATGGGCTTTGGGTATGAGTAACCATCAGTTGTTTAACTAAATCTTTTCAGTCAAGTTGTGGCTTGCGTCTGAGAGGGAGATCCTAAAGAGGAAGGTAGTTGAGGAAAAATATGGCATTGCCAAAGAGTAGCAGTCAACAAATGAAGTCAGAGATTCACATGGAGTGGGGTCTTTTTGGAAGAGTATTAAAATGAGGTGAGAGGATTTCTCCAAAAGATCAAGTTTGCAGTTGGATATTGGAAAGAGAGTTGATTTTGCTATGAAAGTTGATGTGGCAACCGAAGCATAACCTGAACATTCTGAGCCTAATGCGACCAATGACACTGATGATGTTTGATAACTTAATTCAGCGATTAATTCTGAAAGGATTTTAAGCGCTTAGCCAATTAAGTGCGTTTGATAATACAATTTGAATAACACTAAAAACGGTAAGCATCACTTAAAATGGGGTAAAATTTTAAGTAACGGGGACATCACTTATCACTTAATGTTGAACATAAAAATTCAAAAAGATAACAAAAAATTTTTAGTTTTTAATTACCACTTAAAAACTTCAGCATTTAAAATTCAGCTCTTAAATTTTTCAGTACTTAATTTTCAGTTTTATCAAACAGCAACCCAACTAACCCAAGCTTAGAAAAAATATGGCTGGGTTTAGCCTGCAAGGTTGAAGTGCAGATTGGGCTCGAGCGTGGGTTGAGTGTCTTATAGATGTACTTAGTCTTATCAAGATCTCCCATCACAAGGGTTTGCTGTTTGTGCTTTCTTTTTTCTCGTTCTCTTGTGATGCGGACGTTCTTGGAGGTTGCTAGGTTGCCTTGTTTATTTCAAGGCGGAACTATAAGATCTGCTTTCACTTATCGAGGGCATTCGATTTTTCTGGATTCCGACTCGGTTGGAAGGAGAAGAGAGGACCTTCGATCTTGTTTGGTGGGTAAGTTCGATAAGGATGTGGGTGATGGGGCTCAAATTGCTGCTTGGGTGTCGAGAGTTTGGAATGTCTCCTCTAGTGTGGGAGTTTCGTCGTTGCCGGATTCTCTGCTTCTCTTTCCGCTTCCTTCTCCGGCAAAGGCAACTCGTGTTCTTTAAGTGGGTCGACGTGACTGGGGAAAGGCAACTCTGAGTGTGGAGGCTTGGAATTTTAAGGTGGGGTGTTCGGAGGTTCTAAAAGAGAAGGGGCTGAAGAAAGTTTCGATTTACGGTCTCCCTCTTCATCTCTGGAGCCAAGCTTTGTTCGTGACAATCCGTGATTTGTGTGGTGATTTTATTTGGGTGGACGCTGATGAAGCAATTGATGCTGAGAGAGTTCGTATCACAGTGGCGGACGGTAAGGTTTGCCCTTCGTTTGTGTTCATTCATGATGATCGGTTTTGCTTTAAGGTGGCTATTTGGGAGGAGAAGCCTCCTGAGCTTGTTCCGACAACAAATAGTTTGGAAGGGGGTGATGGTTCTCATCTGTTAAAGGAGAAGGAATGGTTACAGTGGGAATCGTCGGGGGTGAAGGGGATGGCAGAGTTTAAAAAATGGAAAGAATGGAGGGATGCGCTGTGGATCCAGAATACGGAGTGCTTTAGAAGATTGTATGCTCAGAAACGGCGGGATGGTCCTTCTTTCATAACGGATCATCGCCGGCAAGATGGGTTCCGGCCGAATCAGGGGGGTGGAGGTCTCACCGGGAACGGCCGTCGGTCTTTTTTGCAGAGTTGGGATCAAAGAAGGCATCGCGGTGATGTTCACGTGCAGCAAGCGCGTGGGAGGGGGAGGAACCTTATGCATACACGTGGTTGGCGTCCACGCCATGCCCGTTACAAGAGTTCTACAGCTGTACCCAGGTTATTTTCAAATTCTGCTCCAAATTCAGCTCCATTCGCTTGGGCTCGAAAGGGTTCAAATCCTTCTCGGGATGATGGGCCTGTTCTTGGGCCAGGGAGTGGAGCTTTGGATGTTAAAGGGTTTAAAGATGATTCTACATCTTTAGGTGGGCCGAGTGAGGGGCCTAAGGTTTGTGGGCCGGTTGGAGGTTCGATTTCTCATCCATTTAAAGATGTTTCTGCTGAATCTGGGTCGAAGTGTGGGCTGGAATCAGTCCCTTCTTGCTCTGGAGTTGGGTTGAGCAACAAGTTTAGGCCCTTATCTTTGTCTTCCTCAGTGGACAGAAAATGCTCTCAGCCATCGGGTTCTCTCAGTGCAAGTTTCAGAGAGGATAGGCAAGCAAAGCCTGCGCAACGTCATCGCCTATCTAAGAAGAAAGTCATCTTTCCTGCGCTTCATAAGAGGTGGACTCGAAAGGCCAAGCAAAAATGGGTGATGGCTTCGCAATAGGGTTCTGATCCGGGTAAGT